GCCAAGGATTTCCTTTCTGAAATTGAGAAACGTTTTGTTAAAAGCGATAAGGCGGAAATAAGCATGTTGTTAAAAGACTTTACTTCCAAAAGGTATTCAGGAAAAGGAAATATAAGGGAGTATATTATGGAAATGTCTTATATTGTTTCTAGGCTCAAGACACTTAAGATTGAGATATCGGAAGATGTTCTCGTACACATAGTCTTGAACTCTCTTCCTATTGCATTTGATCCTTTTAAAGTTAGTTATAACTGCCAGAAGGAGAAGTGGTCTCTTAACGAGCTCATTTCATATTGCGTGCAAGAGGAAGAGAGGATGAAACAAAATAAGACAGAAAGTGCTCACTTGGCTAGTACCTCTAAGGATAAGGGTAAAAAGAGGAATAGAACTCCCATTAAGAATGAAGCTGCTAAAGGTCCAGTACAGAAGAAACATAAGGAAGGTGAAACAACTTGTTTCTTCTGTAAGAAGTCTGGACACATGAAGAAGGATTGTACCAAGTATCACGCTTGGAAAGTGAAGAAAGGTACGGTCCTTACCTTGGTTTGTACTGAAAACAATTTAGCTTCAGTGCCTAGAAATACTTGGTGGTTAGACTCCGGTTCAACATCTAACATCAGTATTTCTATGCAGGGTTGTCTGAGCCACCGCAAGCCAAATGATGCTGAAAGATGTGTCTATGTGGGAGATGGCAAAGCGGTGCATGTGGAGGCTATTGGGCATTTTAGATTGTTATTGTCTACTGGTTTCTATTTGGATTTAAAAGACACTTTTGTTGTTCCGTCATTTAGGCGGAATTTGGTTTCTGTTTCTTATTTGGACAAATTGGGTTATCATTGTTCATTTGGAAACTTTCGGTTTCATTTGTCTTTAAATTCAAGTATAGTAGGGACTGGTTCTTTTATGTCATATGACAATCTTTACATGCTTGAAACAATAACTTCATATAATAATGTTTTGAATATTGACACCCGAGGCACTAAGCGAAAGGTTGATAATGCACAATCTGGTTTTTTATGGCACAAACGATTAGGTCACATCTCTAAAAATAGAGTTGAACGTCTTGTGTCTGATGGAACACTTAATTCCATTGATTTTTCTGATTTCAATACTTGTATTGAGTGCATTAAAGGAAAACAAACCAAAATTAAGAAAAAAGGTGCATATAGAGCTATGGATGTCTTAGAATTAATACACACGGATATTTGTGGGCCATTTCCTACTCCTTCATGGAATGGTCAACAATATTTTGTGTCATTCATAGACGATTACTCTAGATATGCATACTTATTTCTTATACATGAAAAATCTCAAGTCTTGGACGTGTTTAAATCTTACAAATCAGAAGTTGAGAATCAACTCAACAAACGCATAAAGAAAGTCAAATCCGACCGTGGTGGTGAATACTATGGGAGGTATGACGGCTCAGGTGAACAACGTCCAGGGCCTTTTGCCAAATTTCTAGAGGAATGTGGGATTGTCCCTCAATACACCATGCCGGGTTCACCTAGCATGAATGGCGTAGCTGAGAGACGTAATAGAACCCTTAAGGAAATGGTAAGAAGTATGATTTCTCATTCTATCTTACCTGAATCCCTCTGGGGTGAGGCATTAAAGACTGCAGCTTACATTCTTAATCGAGTGCCAACTAAAGCAACTACTAAAACACCTTATGAGCTTTGGACGGGTAAAAAGCCTAGTTTAAAGCATTTTCGTATTTGGGGTTGTCCAGCCGAGGCAAAGCCGTATAGACCGCATGAAAAGAAACTGGAACCCAAAACAGTTAGTAGTTACTTTATTGGTTACTCGGAACGATCTAGGGGATATAAATTTTATAATCCTGAGGATAAAAATATTTTTGAAACGGGAACTGCCATATTTTTCGAGGATGTTGAGTTTGGGGGGAAGAATAAAGTTAGGGATATTGTCTTTGAGGAAGAATTGATTTCAATACCTGAACCAATTCATATGGATGTTTCTTTTGAAACTAATGAAGAACCTCAACAAGGCATTATTTCATCTTCTCCTATCCAAACTGAACAAATTATTCAAAATGAACAAACTCAACTTCCTCTAGAACAAGTGCAACAAGAAAATGTGCCATTGCGGCGATCCGCTAGAGAAAGGAGATATGCAATTCCAAGTGATTATATTGTATATCTCCAAGAACATGTGTCAAGCATGGATACAGTGAATGATGTCCTTGTGTTTATTCAAGAACATGAGGAAGAAAATGGTGTTATGGAAGATGATCCAATCAACTTCCATCAAGCCATGAAAAGTTCAAATTCTCAAAAGTGGATTGTGGCAATGAATGAAGAATATAAATCTATGCAAGACAATAAAGTTTGGGAACTCGTCCCATTACCTGAAGGTTGTAAACCCGTTGGTTGTAAATGGATATTTAAAACCAAAAGGGATTCAAGGGGTAATGTGGAGAGATATAAAGCTCGTCTTGTAGCTAAAGGTTACACTCAAAAGGAAGGAATTGATTATAAAGAGACCTTTTCTCCAGTTTCATCAAAGGACTCTTTTAGAATCATTATGTCTTTAGTTGCACATTTTAATTTAGAGCTTCATCAGATGGATGTTAAGACAGCGTTTCTCAATGGCGACATTGATGAAACTATTTATATGGTGCAACCAGAAAATTTTGTGATAGGAGATCCAAAACAAATGGTTTGCAAATTAACAAAATCCATCTATGGGCTGAAACAGGCTTCTCGTCAATGGTACCACAAATTTCATCAAGTCATTTTATCCTTTGGTTTTAAGATGAATGATGTAGATGATTGTGTATATCATAAATTCAATGGGAGTAAAATCTTTTTCCTGGTCTTATATGTTGATGACATTATTCTTGCCACTAACGACATAGGCATGTTGCATGAAACCAAGAGATTTCTATCAAAACATTTTGAAATGAAAGATCTTGGTGAAGCCTCCTTTGTATTAGGAATTGAAATCCTTCGTGAGAGATCACAAGGAATCTTAAGGTTATCACAAAGGAACTATATCGATAAAGTTCTTAAAAGATTTGGCATGGAAGATTGTAGACCGGGTGATACCCCTATCTCTAAAGGAGACAAGTTTAGTCTCGATCAGTGCCCTAAAACAAATCTGGAAATTCAAGAAATGAAAAAGATTCCCTACGCATCTGTTGTAGGAAGTCTTATGTATGCCCAAGTTTGTACGCGTCCGGATATTGCGTACATTGTTGGGATGCTAGGCAGATATCTCAGTAATCCAGGAATGGCTCATTGGGTGGCGGCCAAAAGAGTAATGAGATACTTGAAGAGAACAAGGGACTATATGCTTACATATAGAAAATCAGATCATTTGGAGGTCGTTGGATACTCCGACTCTGATTTTGCCGGCTGCAAAGACACTAGTAGATCTACTTCAGGTTATGTTTTTCTGCTAGCGTGTGGTGCTATATCTTGGAAAAGTGTTAAGCAAGATATGATAGCTACCTCAACTATGGAGGCAGAGTTGTTGGCCTGTTTTGAAGCTTCGAACCATGGAATATGGATGCGCAATTTTATTGATGGGATTAAAATATTAAATGAAGTTCCAAAGCCTATCAAGATATTTTGTGACAACAATTCTACGGTGCTTTACTCTAACAACAACAAGAGCTCGAGTAAGACAAAACATATTGAAGTGAAATACCGAGCTATTAAAGAGAGGGTTCAGAATAAAAGGGTCACTATTGAACATATAAGTACAAACTCCATGCTAGCGGATCCTTTAACCAAGGGTCTCCCACCAAAAGTTTTTCATGAGCACATTGCTCACTTGGGAGTCATTGATTTTAAGGAACATCGAGTTTAGTGGGAGTTCATAAGTTATGTTTGATGTATTTGTTTTCTGATCAGAATAAAGTTAGACATTTGGTGTGTTCTGAACAATTAAGTTATTAAAGTTTATTAAAGAAGGGTCAGTTGAAAATTGACATGTACACATGCCACATTTCATGTAATTTTCATGCTACACATTTCATGATTGATCTATGTCATTATGTTATATTAATACTAGTAATCATTGCTGGTGTAGTTATGTTTAACATAACAAAATGCTGCAATGGTTCTATATTAGTGTGACTGATGGACCAGATTGTTTAAGGATGTTTTATATGATGGTATTTTTGAGCTCATAAAGATAACACATTTTATTAAGAATTACATATAAGGCCCAGTGGGAGATTGTTGGAAAACAATAAAAAGGGGCCTAATATGTAATTAATTAAAATGTGTTTACCATCAGATAAATAATACAGTGGCTATTCATGAAATAATAAAAGTGTAGATACTGGGATAATATATTTCTTTTGGTGACGGGTCAAATTAAATATATTATACTAAAGTGATACAACGGTTATGACCCCCGATGCATGTAAATAACGAGATAATTGTAACGACATAGTAACGGAAAATAGCCTAATAAATTATTCTACTTATTGTAGCAATAATGTAGGAATTAGAAAGGTTAACCGTTACTATTCTCAAATTAGTCCTATAAATACCCATCAATTATAGGATTAAGCTTTATCTCATAAGCTACATAGCATTGGAAGGTTAGGCCGATCAATCGTGTTGGATTCCTAAGTCTTCCTAAAGTGTTAATGCAAATGAATTCTCAAGGTATTGTTCTAATCTTATTTCATACATATTTGATTTCATGGATTTATATGGATTTAGCTATTATATATTTATATATATATTGCATATGGAGCCTTGTTGATATGTATATGAATATCCATCATTTATTGATAATGACCAAATTCGCGACATTAGCTGATTCTGCTGAAATAATTTATGAAGTGGCTGGATTGATTGCTTTTGCTTATTTATGAAAAAATTGTATTCAAAATATATTTTATTAATTAAATAGATAAAAAACTGTATGAAAATAGTTAAAATGATTCTCTACAATAACTTTAGTCATTACAGTCAAAAAAGTAACTACAACTTTAATTTTTATTATTATTACATAATTTAACGCACGAAATCAAATGTTATGAGTTTGATGAAATAGTTATTGATAAACCGAAAAGTAGCATCATCAAATGGACTACTAATTTTTAACGAGTTTAATGTTCAAGAATCTTTGTAGAATTGCTAATATTTAGAAAGAAAGGTTTATTTGCCCCTTTTTCTAAATTTTATTTTTGTACTACCTATTACAAATAGTATATGAAGTATCCAACCACCACTTTCAACTACAACGACTCCTCTAGACAGGGCGGTGTTGCTGTATATATTCTGGTCTAGTGCTTCCTCCCTACCAAATTTCCAAATGCATAAAAGTCCTTAACCACCACCTCTCACCGCCTCACTCCATGGCTCTCCCTCTGCTTCTACTCATCTCAATCCCTCTCATCTTCCTGGCGTACAAGCTCTACTACAGGCTCCGATTCAAGCTTCCGCCGGGCCCTCGCCACCTCCCCATCGTCGGCAACCTCTACGACATAAAACCGGTGAGGTTCCGCCACTTCGCCGAGTTGGCTCAGGAATACGGACCCATATTCGCCGTCTACTTCGGCTCTCAGCTGAATGCGGTGGTCAGCACCGCCGAGCTCGCCAAGGAGGTGCTCAAGGAGAATGATCAGAGCTTGGCTGACCGGTTCCGTACCAGATCCGCCTCGAATCTGAGCCGGAACGGGATGGATTTGATCTGGGCCGATTACGGGCCTCACTACGTCAAGGTCAGGAAGCTCTGCAACCTCGAGCTCTTCACGCCCAAGCGGCTCGAGTCTCTTCGGCCAATTAGAGAGGATGAGGTGACCGCCATGGTTGAGAGCATCTTCAGAGACTGTACTAAGCCGGGTATGTATGCTTGGTTGATTCTCCTAATTAATTGCTTCGCTGTTCATCAATCGTCGTCTCGATTTGGCTTGTTCTGAGTTTGGATTCTTGCCTGATTCTGAATAGTTGAGAACATATCCATCGATTGCTGCATTACTTGCGGCAAGTCATTCAACATTGTCGGGAAAATGAATCCAAAAACTCCAAAAGTCAATGAGCTAACTTGTTGTGATCGAGCAAATAAAAGGACGACACCTTAAATTTTGGCTCATTACAAAAATACCCGAGTGTGTGTCCAAACATATTCATCACCATGGGCGGACCCTAGTATATATACATTGAAAAATAATTTTCTCCCCGAAAAAATATTTTGATCCCTCCCAAAAATATTTTCGCCTTAAATAAATATTTTTTGATAGTATAAGCTCAATTCGACCGATACCAACTTTTATTTAATATTTATAACAACTCAAATGTACCAACTGATCACATTAGTTAAATACTTCCTCCGTTTCTGAAAGTTAAATACTTCCTCCGTTTCTGAAACAAGTTCCACCTTTCCTTTTAGAGTAATTCAAAATTAAGTTTCACTTTCAAGCATTTTCTTATTTGGCAAATTATCTACATCAAAACAGTGTCAAAAGTGTCAAACAATGTTCAAACAGTGTCAACCAGTGTTCAAACAGTGTCAAACAGTGCACCCTCAGTAAAGTCAAATTTATTTTCTTAATATGTGTGAAGTCAGTAACTTGTTTCAGAAACGGAGAGAGTACATGTCTTATGTTAATATGACTATCTAGCTGATCAATTCAATTTGCAACGCATCTAGTGGCCCACAGGTAGAGGGAAGTCAAGACTCTGGTTCACCTTAAATTTAAAAATGTCTTAATATTTAGTGCAAAAAAATTTGTATAATTTTTTCTCCAAAATATTCTTTGTATTGCTCAATCTGGACTAGTACCCGGTACCCCGGCTCCGCCTGTGCAGTGGCCTAACTAGTGCCCTGGCTCCGCCTGTGTAGTGGCCTATCAACAGACAAATTTCAAACACATGTTATTACCGGTGGGCTGTTATCGAAGGAGTGCCACAAGAGTTAGGTCTTGATGGATAGCCTACCCGGGGGTATGTAACCAAGGGGTTATTGCGGGAATAACTAGAGAGAGGTCAGAGCAAATAAGTAAGAGAGAGTGTATATTTGATGTGTATTCAGCATATTTTTGCCTGGGTTACAAATGGGGAAATGAGGTGCTATTTATAGTAGTAATAAATGATAGATAGGGACACATGTCAAGCATCCATTGACCGAGGGGTCACATCAACTGGTTGGCGCTGTCAATCGCATGTGGCCGCATTTAATGCGGCTGTTGGATGTGACGTCGTACTTGATACGGTGATTCAGACGAATGTGGAGTGGATATTATTTCGAGAAAGGTGCCCTCGGCTGTAGTTGATTAGCCGAGGGCTCTGAGTAACGGGAACCTCCGTAGTGTCGAGGGCTCTAGGTGCCGAGGGCTACTGATTTTCACCGTTTTCTCTCAGTAATTTTGTTCGCTTGAGTTGGCAACTCTGTGAGAATTTGGAGCCTTCGGCCAGGGGGCTGAAGGCACTCACAGTGTGCCACTTGGGTTGCTCAGTACTTGGGGCGTTGTGTTTTGGGCCTGCCGTGCTCCCTGGGCCTATTGGGCCTCCATTAGAATAGTGGGAGTCTATGTGCCGGGGGTTCCTGAGCCATATACTCCATCAGGTCTCGAGTTTGAATCCCGTCAACTGTGATGAGAGGTTACTATGCTAAAAAATGCATATGACCTCTACAAGTACCGATGATAGAACTTCACTCTTTATCTGTCAGATTGTGATTATAGTTCAATTTAGATCTTCCCAATATACAGTCCGGTCGGTTTTGGAGGGGGCCATCTGCGATGTCATCCTTTTTTTTCAAACAGATGTTATTAAGGAGCTTTTTCCCAATTAGGAGAGAGGAGTACTAAACTTATTTATGCCTCGTCATGCGCCAGGTGTACTAATGGATGATGTTCGACGCTCATCCTTGAAAGATGGTTGAACATAATTTTCCATATATGTTCCCTGTTCCCATTAAAATTTATTATTTTGAAATAAATTTTGATAAATTCATTCATGCATCACCCAATGTGGTAGGTAAAGGACGTTGACCCAGGTGGTGGGTGAGGGTGGAATAAAGCCATCATATTTTTATTCGTATATATACACTGTAGTATATACACGTATATATCAACCCGTAAGTAGGTAAAGGATGTGGACTCAAGTGGCAGACAAAGAGTCGGGTAACATCTAAATTAGTTAAATTGGCTGATTCTGCTGAAACTTATGAAGTTTTAGAGCCTGTTTGGTAGCACAAAAATCGGCTGATTTGGCTGATTCTTTTGAAATTTATAAAGTTATGGTTGAAGTGGCTGCATTGGCTGATTCTGCTGATTTAAGAAAAAAATTTATTTGAAATATATTTTATTAATAAAATAAAGAAAATTTTTTATCTAAAAATAGCTAAAATGGTTATCTACAGTAACTTCAGCCAATACAGCTAGAAAAAGTAACTTCAACCTTATTTTTTCTGCTTATTACACAATTCAGCGCGCGAAAGCAAAAGTTATGTGTTTGGTGAAAAAGTTGGTTGATAAGCCGGATAAGTCAAAAACAGTGTTGCCAAATGACCTCTTAGTTGAAGAGCCTGTTTGGCAGCACGAAAATCGGCTGATTTGGCTGATTCTGCTGAAATTTATGAATTTCTGTCTAAAGTGGCTGCATTGACTGATTCTGCTGAAATGGTCATCTACAGCAACTTCAGCCAATACAGTCAGAAAAGTAACTCCAACCTTACTTTTTCTGCTTATTATACAATTCAGCGCGTAAAAAAAAGTTACGTGTTTGGTGAAAAAATGGTTGATAAGTCTGATAAGCCGAAAAATAGTGTTGCCAAACGGCCTCGAAGTGATTTAATTAGCTGATTCTGTTGATTTATTAAAAAATTATATTTAAATATTTTTTATTAACAAAATAAAGAAAAAGATTATATGAAAAATAGCTAAACTTATTCTTTGTAGTAACTTCAACTAATACAGTCATAAAAGTAACTTTAACCTTTTTTATTTTTTACAAATTTCAACGCTTGAAATAAAAAATTACGTGTTTGGTGAAAAAGTTGGCTTATAATCCGATAAGTTGAAAAACGGGGTCACCAAATGGGTTCGAAGTTGCGGTAAAGATATCCTGTTTTTTATTCTTATTACAAAACAATAAGTATAAGTATAACTCCATCATTATAATGTAATGTTAATTTTTGTTCTAAAGCGTTATATTGGGTGTTATTACATCATGCGTAACTATACTAAATTTACACCATAGTTTGTTAAATTTTAAAATATGATCAAAAAAAATTAAAATACCCCAGGCAAACAGAGTAACAGCTAGTTTGAGTGGAGAAATAATAGTGACTGCGACTTCTTTCATTTTTTACTTGTAATTTACTCTTTCCCGGGAAGTTCTTTATTAGTTGTCCATTCCGTGTATTCCATATTTGGAAAATTTTACTCGTCTTTTTCTCTTTTCCTTTCCCAAAATTTTCAAGTGTTCTTTTCTATTTCCTCTTACCTTTTCATCCTCTTATACTTCTCTTTCATACTTTATCTGCTTTAATTAGTACCCCTAGTATTTTTCTTAAGCTCCACGAAAAATCTAAGGTAACATTTAGGGAGATTTCAACAAATAGGAGCAAAACGTACGGATTTTCCAAAACTAAGATCGAAAATTAGGGTAAGACTCAACTACACATACATTGACCACAATACCCTTATTTTTAGAAAATAACAGACATTAAATAGACAGTAAGTAGACATTAAATAAACAATGAAGAAAATTGCTCCCATCTTCTCCCGACTCTATCCCGTTTATCCTTCGCAAATCCAGATCCACGCAGCTCCGTCTTCAAGTCTCCGCCACTGAAGCTAGGTCGCCGGACGAAGTTACAGTGACACAAGACCCGGCGGTGATGGTGGAGGCCTTGGCGGCGAAGCTGTTTTATGGCGACGAGATAGCGACGATGTTTGGCGACACAGGCACGGCGGCGACGAGGTCTGGCAATGGCAACGGCGGTGGTTTGTCGCGACGGCCGCAAAATCGAAAATGGGCAGTGAACAAGGAAGAAGGTGGAGGCGTTGAACTTCAATCGGCGAATCTGGGTGCAAAGCCCTGAAGGGCAAATTTGGAAAGTTAGAAATATATTTCCTAATCTAGAACTAAATAGGTAATATGAATGGAAAAAACATTAGCAGATATTATTTTTGTAAAAGAGCTATGATTTGGTCATACTAGAAGCAAGTTTCTCTAACATTTACTCCCTCCGTCCCAAAATGATAGTCCTGTATTTCCTTTTTGGGATGTACCAAAATGATGGTCATGTTTCTCTTTTTGGAAAGAAATATGTGGTTCATATTATTTCAGTTTATTATACTCAAATCTCAACCATAACTTTTACCTTTTCAACCACTTTATTAAAACTTGTGCCCAAAAGAAATGAGACTATCAAATTGGAACGATGAGAGTAATTATCAAATTGGGACGGAGGGAGTAATTATCAAATTGGGACAGAGGGAGTAATAAAGAAGGGATGTAATATCTAAGCCAAACGTAGTGACACTATTAAAATGTTAATCTCCCGGTCTCACAATACTTCAACAAATTTCCTTATTTAGTCGCCTTTTAGTCATTACAAAAAACTTTGACACTTCTACTTAAAATTTTAAACATGTGGTTAAAGTTATTTACCTCTCTTTTATACAGATCTCAACCACACGATTTTATTTTATTATCTCACGTGAAAGTCAAATTTGACTAAGTTTTAAGGGGATAGAAAGAGTATTAGTATTGATTATTGAACGTGTTGCGTTCTTGGTGGATTTAATGGATGGTAGATTTTTATGCACCCTAACTTCGATTTCAGATGTAGATTTATTTTAGCCGGAGTTTAGACTCTTTTGGGACTAAGGCCCTCATGTTGGTGGTGTTGTTTTTTACTCTTGGAACTATCTTTTGGGCGGTGGAAAGCAAAGGGATAACAAAGTGGGATGAAAGAAGTATTAATAAAAATGAATAAGCTAACATCGTAGTTTTTTTTAGTCAGTTGACATCTTTATTTAATATTTTCTATTTAATACCTACTTGTTACAAATTCCAAAAATTATTAATTGAAAAGTCAATTATTTATAGTCAGTTACTCATTTCTAATTTAGACCAAAAAAATAGGAAGTCTTCCTAAGACTATATGTGAAGTCTTTTTTCAAGTAATCTTGTATGATTAACTTTTCATACATATGTGATATGTGTAAGTTATAGAGGTTAGTGTTGCTTATACACTACAATATAAAATAAAATACTAAAACTCACAGGTAAGAAGAGTGTTAATAAGAGGTTATACTGGTTATTTCTTCATTATGGCTTTAATCAATTTATTTCTTCTAAGCAGGTAAAAGTGGCAAAAGCTTGTTGATGAGGGATTACTTGGGTGCAGTAGCATTCAACAACATAACAAGGTTGACATTTGGAAAGAGGTTCATGAACTCTGAGGGAGAGGTAGATGAACAAGGGAAAGAATTTAAGGGCATTGTGTCCAATGGGATCAAGATTGGGGCAAAACTTCCAATGGGAGAATATGTCCCGTGGCTTCGTTGGGCATTTACTGTTGACAATGACGCATTGGAGAGCCAAGCTTCACGCAGAGACCGACTCACCAGGAGGATCATGGAGGAACACACCCTTGCTCGCAAGTCTTCTGGTGATACCAAGCAGCATTTTGTCGACGCCTTGCTCACACTTCAGCAGCAATATGATCTCACCGATGACACTGTCATTGGTCTTCTTTGGGTAAGTAACTATGTACTACTTTTTAGTATTAGAAACATCAAACTTTATGGATATAGGGTGGATAAATGTAGAAACTGGATTCAGGATGACTTGTCAAGTTTTAATATATGGTACAAGAACCCGTTGAATTCAAACAAGCAATTGATCGTACATTCTGACATTCATACTAACTCTAAAAAATGGTTCTTGCGATTAGTTTGCTCCTAGTCATCATCTTACCGAACATGTTATATTATCTGACATTAAACTACTACTCCAAGCAGTGCATGAAACCTCAAAACCTTAGATATCTATGAAATCTAATTAATCTAATGTCGAACACGTTTTGTTTCGTAGTAGGAGCCTTTTCTTCCAAAAATCGATCAGTCTATGATATTAAAACTTAGGTTGTATCCTAAAAGGATGACGAATGGATTAGCTCAAATCCTAGCTTTAATGGTGAGTATGTATCTTTAGAATCATGGGCGACACTATATCATAAGTTAAGGATAAGAGTATGTGACTCACAAGGGTATATATTTTTCATTTATAGATTACTCTTTTGATGAGAGGACAGTTGGTTGAGTTGTAATACTTGGATCAACATGTACAGGACATGATCACAGCAGGAATGGACACTACAACAATATCAGCCGAATGGGCAATGGCAGAGCTTGTGAAGAACCCACGGGTGCAACAAAAGGCTCATGAAGAGCTGGACCGGGTCATCGGATCTGATCGGATCATGACCGAGTCCGATTTCTCCAAGCTCCCATACCTCCAGTGTGTAGCCAAGGAAGCACTAAGGCTACACCCACCCACACCCCTAATGCTCCCCCACAAGGCCAGCGCGCACGTCAAGATCGGTGGCTACGACATCCCCAAGGGCTCCATTGTCCACGTAAACGTCTGGGCAGTTGCCCGCGATCCTGCCGTGTGGAAGGATCCGTTAGAATTCAGACCAGAACGGTTCCTTGAGGCAGACATCGACATGAAGGGACACGACTACCGTCTCCTCCCGTTCGGTGCGGGGAGGCGTGTATGTCCAGGTGCACAGCTGGCAATAAATTTGGTGACATCAATGTTGGGTCATCTGCTGCACCATTTCGAGTGGGGACCACCCTCGGGAGTGAAGGCTGAGGAGATTGACATGACGGAGAGCCCTGGGATGGTGACCTACATGAAGACTCCTTTGCAAGCTGTTGCTACCCCAAGGTTGCCTGATGCAGACTTGTACAAACGTGTGCCCTATGTTATGTGATGCTTTTTCTTCTTTCCTCCATGATCATGACACTTTTGACTTTAATGCATTTTAATGCGGAGTATGTTTCTAAATGCAAATTTTACGTATCTCTGATTTTCTGGTGTGTGTTAGGTGGCCAATGCAAGTTGACGAGTAGGTTCACAATGCGCCTACCCTCTTTGAAGTCATCCGCAGCATCTATGCTAAGAAGTAATAATAGATTATTTAGGCTATTAAGGGTCAAATAGATCTTTGTACCCTTTCGTATTGCTCAATTTGCCCCCTCAACCCAAAAAAGCTCCAATTGGCACTCTGAACTCAATAAAAATATTCAAATTTCACTTTTTGCAGGTTTCAATCCGGTCACCGCCATGTCACCCGGTAGGGTGCCAACTGTGCATGTGACGTGGCAACTTAGGGGGTCAAATAAGCCCCTGAACCCGATCAAAATTGTTCAATTTACCCCCAACCCTAAAAAATGTCAAAAAAAATTTAAGGGTTGAGGGAGTAAATTGAACACTTCAGTCGGGTTCAGGGGCTTATTTGACCCCCTAAGTTGCCATGTCACATGCACAGTTGGCACCCTTACCGGGGTGATGTGGCGGTGACCGTCTTGTGACCTGTAAAAAGTAAAATTTGAATCTTTTTATGGAGTTCAGGGTGCCAATTGGAACTTTTTTGAGTTCGGGGGGTAAATTGAACAATCCGGAAAGGTAAAGGGGCCTATTTGACCCTTTAGCCGATTATTTAAATTAAATGCTTAAATGTATTTTTAGTGTCATAAATATTGCAATTTTATATTTCAGTCGATTAAGCCCATATTTTCCATCATATTCAAGGGAGTCAAAGACACTATTTTTTTGGACGAAAAAAACAAAATTGCTCACTAAACGACATGTGTTTCTTTGTTCATGTTTCTTCAGAAACTGTCTTTTTGTGTTGAGATTAGTCAATGCAATTCTCGATGCAATTTTGATTAGGAGTGGGCACGGTTGGTTAACCGCATTTCGGTTAACCATTTTTTGATTAACCGTGGTTTCGGTTAATATGTAAATTATATCATTAACCGTACCGTAACTTCGGTTAACCGGATAACATGTAACCGTAATATAGGTTAACCATTAATTGGTTAACCAAAAAACCGTTTAAACCATGAAAGATATGCCAACATTTGCTCATCCAATTTTCTCCCAGAGATTCGCTCTCCCGTGAGAATCGAATTTAGGGATCCGGTTGATATTATTGAAATGCTCCGTATAAAACAAACCGGTGTAGAAGGTATTGACATGTACTCCGTATTAATTATGCCTTGTGGCAATTTAATTAATTAATCAACCAATAATAACAACAATAAAGCTCCAATCCCAATGAACCCACCACTTTTTTGCTCAACATTAATAGTTAAATACTACGTACTACTCACTGATATTAAATTATTAACAAATGTGTTCCCAGTACGAAACCATACTCACGTAATATTTGACCGTGCAATTAGTTTAGAAATAATATTTTAACTTTGCATTATCGGTTAATCGGTGGTAGTTTTATTTCATAACCGTAACCGCGGCATGTGTCATTTTTTTCTTTCGGTTGGTTAACCGTACCGCGAATTTTTAAAAACACAATATGGTTAACCGAAAAAACACCGGTTTTCAGTTATTTTGTACGGTTAGTCGGTTACGGTTTTTTATGTCCACCCCTAATTTTGATCACTACTTTGGAAAATGTTTTTTTTTGTTTTAGCATAGGGGTAAGATTGTGTACATTCAATCCGCTTTATGAGATAGCTCCATATATTTTTAAAAGGATCAACGTTTATAGTAGATCAAACTAAACTTAAATAGATGTTCATTAAGTGAGATGTAAATGGACTTAAATGGATCAAATCATGCCCTAGACTTTACTAGACTTAGCAAACAAAGCATGCACCAAAAGTTTTCAAATTATACTAAATCATACCAAATCATACTTAAACAAATATAATAAGATGAAAAAATCTATATTCAATTAAAAACATTTTACCCGATTTCCATATTTTGTTTTCGGAGCTTACCATGTTTAGGACCTTAGGTTACATTTCCTTCTTTTCCACTAGATAAATCCTTACAATTCCTTATACAAATTATCCTTGTGCTACTTTATAATTCTTATGTATTTGTATCTTTTCCTGTCATTTCTAAATATCCGTAAATAATGACACATTTTTTTGTTTAAATACGTTTTTAGTCCTTGCAAATATGACACATTTTGTTTTAGGTCCCTGCAAAATATATGTTTTGTTGTTCATCCATGCAGTGGCGGATGTGCTACTGTTCAAGGGTGTTCAGGCGAACACCCAAAATTTTGAAAATAAGATGTAAAAATACATGTATAGAATTGATACAATAATTTATATAGTGTATTTTTTATACATTGTTTGTTACCCTTAACCTTTTTTCTAGTATTTTGTGGTTGAAAAAAATTACATTCCTTCAATTGTGGTATCGAAAAACATTATTGTTTAATATTTTAACCATAATTTTTTTGAACACCCAATTTCCGGTTGCGAGATCCGCCACTGCATCCATGCAATTTGCTTTATTTTGTTTTTAGTCCATATCTAATTCTGAAACTACTCCACATACAAAAAAGTTACTTTCAGTTACATAAATATATTAGAAATATTTAAATTTGTCCTTTATAACTTTTTGATGCTAAAATGAGAGTTAAAACAATATAAAATTAAGTATTCACATTTTAAAAACATAAAAAAACTTCTAAAAATAAAATTATATACTTTTTGAATAACATGACAAAGAATTAGAGGAAATCTATTAATCGAGGTTATTTTGAGGTCAAATGGAGGTTATTATCATCAGTGATGAACTAAAAAGAAAACCAACATAAATTGCAGGGACGAAAAAAAAATGAAGAGATGTAAAACAAAATGTACTATATTTGCAGGGACTAAAAGCATATTTAAATCTACTTTTTTAAAACAATGTGCCAAAAGCAACGTCAAATTTTGTAGGATCATTCTTGATGTACACAAAATTATAGAAAAATTATACATTACCCATATATACATATATTTTGGACAAAAATTTGTCCCTTTTCAAATGAATTGTCTGCCTACAAGACTGAGTGTTTGTATACACTTTGCGTACATCTAGCGTTTTCTCATTTTGTATGGACAGAGGCAGTTTAGAGGTAGTATTCTAGTCCAGTAGAAAAGTAGATGAGTAGCTTTTAATGACATGTTTAATTTTGAAAGATACTCCGTACAAAAGGAAATTATAAAATAAACATGTTAGGTACGATTATTTTCAAATAGATTGCTTATTGAACATCTTGCTAGTATGGTAGGGGCAAACCATCGTAACACCATTTGGAGTGATGCGAAAGTCTCTCAAAAATGGATTCCGTCCATATGAAAACATTGTTTTGACTCCTATTTCTCTGCATTCCAGCACCGTCAATAAAATACACTCTGCACATTTTTTACATATCAATTTAGTAAAATATTAATTAAATTATTATAAGTAATATTTTTCTTTTTAATTTAATCCCTGAATAATTTTGAAGTAAAAATACACATTTCGATGTAAAAATAAATAAATTTCATTAAATTTTTTAAAACATTTTTCGGTTAACAAAAAATGAACTTAGCTCAAGTAAGGTTCAATTACGGAATATTAAGTTATTTGTGAAGGCTACATGAATTAAAAAATTGTGTTTTGAATTTTTTTGGGCTCATGAAAATTTCAACAGTTAAAATTTCAGTTGTTTTTTTCATTTTTTGTATTACATATTGGTGTCATATGAAAGAGTATAAAAAATTATGAATTTCGATATATATTTTTTCTAAATTTGATTTGTGAAAAAACAAATTATAACCATTTTAAGAAAGATGGAGTTTTATTTTATGGAGCCTACTAACTACCTAGGGGTGTTCGTCGGGTTGGTTTGGTCGGTTTCGGTCGGTGTCGGTCGGTTTGAAAATTTGTCAGTTTTCACAAATGGCAAACCGATAACTGAACCGAATGGGATTCGGTCGGTCGGTTCGTAGAACCGAAGAACTCGGTTCGGTCGGTCGGTTTGGTCGGTTTGTTTTGCACTAATTTTTTAAACTAATTTTAAAACAAATTTGACAAGCTTACCATGTTTTTGTGAGCTTTTTTCTGTCAAGCAAGGCAACATGTTTCAACCTGTTTGCATGCTAACAAATAACAATACACAATATACTAAATTACTACCCGTTTATCACAATCAAAATAAATACACTTAAACTGGAAACACTTGACAATCGTTCCTTAAGTCCCACTTAATCTTCATAAGCAATTCGGACAACCTACCTGGGCTTAGTCAGCTGGATATATAGCACATTACAATTTAAATGAATTATTTAAAATGTAGCATACTCAAATGGGTGATCGTTCGTGTTGATATTCGGAAGATTTGAACCAGTGTTGCTTGAACTTGAGCTTGTCGAAATCGGGGGCATTAAGAGAACACCATCTGGAATATGAAGACGATTAAAATATCAAAGTTCAAATTTATTATAATTATAACAAATAATACTACTATTTGGTAATTTTGTATAGCAAAAATGCATTTAATGACCTGTAACAACTTCATAACAGTCTTCAAATGCTTCAACTTCATCCATATATTGCTTTAAGACCACAATATCATATTCATTATCTTTGGCATTCAACCAATTCTTCGAACAAATTAGAGATTCAACGACTCTAGGTGCTAATGAACTTCTGAAAGAATCAAGTACCCTACGTCCCGTGGAGAAGGCAGACTCAGATGCAACAGTAGATACGGGAACAGTAAGCACGTTTCTAGCAACCTGAGACAAGATCTTATATCTACCCGAGTTCTCTTTCCACCAAACAAGAATATCAAAATTTTCACTCTCCACTGCTCCATCTTCATTTCCTGTAATCGGCTCGCATCTATCAGTCAAGTATCTGTCAACATCATTAAGGTTTAAACTCGCAGCACTGCTCCTGGAACTAAGATATTCCCGATCCATATCCTCTATTCCTAATAAAAGTGCTGAATCATCAAAAGTGACTGTAGAACGAGCTGATGAAACAGAACCAACGTTTGTGTTTGCAGTTTCTGGAAGTTTAGCTTTCTTTCCCCTACCTCCCACTAATGGGACTGAAATATCTGTAAACCTAGGGACAACATGACGTGGAGCCAGAGGTGGTGGTGGAGCCCAATCATGATATTGCTTGTACAATTTCCGGAGTGTTGACTCAATACCTTTTGACAAAATCAAACTTATTTTTTCATCATAGATACACTTGAGACAATAATTGACATATTCCATCTTGTACCTA